CCCCAAAACCCCAAAACCCCAAAACCCCATATATCTAGGTAATGAACCTGACTGAGCTATCATTATAATTCGAGTCAATTCAAAGCATAATAAAATAAATTTTAAGTTTGGTTATAGATGTCTATCTGAGTATTTGATTTATTTATTAAACTTAGTAATGGAATAAATTCAAATTTAAAGTTAAAACTCTTTTAAAAGTAATATGCAATCCACTGCTTAAACTAGCGCAACTAGCACTCAGAATGTGTAGTATGACCCAGCAGAACTCCTGAATAGCCGCTACAAAAAAGTTAAAAGACTAGGAGAAGGTTCATATGGTACTGTATTCCTAGCGATAGACACCAAACCTAAGGGTATAAAGAGGAAAATTGATCAGAAATATCTGCAGCTCTTGGACAAAGTAGAAGATCCATAGAAAGATGAATTTGATAAAGCAAATAAAGTAGTGTCTGCTGGTTAGATAAGAGATGCCAGTGGAGATGTGATTATGGTCGAGGAGCAGAAAGAGGCATTGAAGATACTAGAGAATAAATCACTTATTTTCAACTAAAATGAGGTTTTTGTTGGAGGATAGAATGAAAATGATTAAGTTTAGTCAAATTCTGATACCAAACTAGAGAATCAATCTTCTACTGAAAAGCAACCTACTGAATTTTTAGTGGCTATAAAGAAATTTAAGCTAAACAGTTTCAATGTAAGTTTTTATAGCAAGTATATTAAATGAATTATAGGATCGTAAAGGCATCCCTTTCACAGCACTAAGAGAAATAAAGATCCTTCAGGAACTAAATCACCCAAATATCATTGGACTGTATGATGTCTTTTACCTTTAGAAGATCATCTTCCTAGCACTTGAGTATATGCCTCATGAATTCACTGCACTTATCAGAGATCAGACCATTCTACTTAAGGAGGAACACATTAAAAACATAATGCACTAGATTTTATCAGCAGTTGACTATTTGCACCAGAACTTTGTTATGCATAGAGTAATTTTTAATCTCTAAAAGATCGACTAATTTCTGATTATAGGATTTGACTCCTGGCAACTTACTCTTGGGGGCTGATGGAACCATTAAGCTTGCTGATTTTGGTCTGGCTAAGATGTATGGTACCCCAGAGAGAAAGCATTCAGCTGGAGTCTGCACTAGGGAATACAGAGCACCAGAAGTTTTGTTTGGAGCCTCTTACTATGGACCTATGGTTGATATCTGGTCTGTGGGCTGCATCTTAGGAGAGCTACTGATTAGGGTTCCTCTCTTCCCAGGAAGAACAGATATTGATTAGCTTGGAAAGATCTTTACTCTGAGAGGGTCAGCAAATGTATTTTATTAGTCAAATTCATTTTCAATCATAGAATGAGAACTGGCAAGGAGTTGAAGAGCTTCCTAACTATCTTGAATTTACAATCAAGGATATAAAGCCGCTTAATGAAGTATTCCCATTTGCTAGTGAATAGTGCTTAGATCTTCTAGATAAACTTATCTAACTCGATCCATCCAAGAGACCCACAGCTAGAGAGGCACTTGAGCATCCCTTCTTCACAACTGAATTACCAAGAGCTTGTCTCAACAGTGAACTACCATTACCTCAGCAAAAGAAATGATAATTTAAGAGGTAGATATGCACACCTCGAAAGATGATATGATGAGTATCAATTTACTTTAATTAATTAATTCATCTAATGATTCTTCATTCTATCAAAATGCTTAAAATGATTAAAATCGGGGTTTTGGGGTTTTGGGGTTTTGGGGAGATCGGAAGAGCACACGTCTGAACTC